TAGCACTGGAGGACAGCGCCATCGTCCAATGTACAGAAGCGCTTCCTGAACAACCTGCCCAGGGTAATAACCAACAACAAAAAAGATTTCTCAATTCGGCTACGTAAAACTTACAGGTTTTCTTCCCCCGATGATTTCGCTGCCAGGTGAGTAGAACTTCCAGCTACAGACCGAAAAAGATTATCAGCAAACCAGAACTGGCGAGAATGCCCGGAACACAGGCACAACCACGCATGCCCCGACTCTGTCCTGTTACAAGGACGGGGAATGATCTTCTGAGACTGGACGTCCTACCCTCTGGCCCGCGGTGCCAGGACTCCACACGGCCCAGGCCTGTGGCCTCGTGACTCTTCCTTTTTCCTGAAGGGCAGCACATGCTTGTGGCCGGGGTCTCCACCAGCCCATCTCCTGCCCGTAGGATTTCGGGAGTCAACAGGCTGCTCTCATTTCATTCCACGTCTGTTCCTTCCAGTGCAAGCTGACGGCATTTCCGCTGATGAAAGATTCTCGAAACCTTTGTGGGTCTCCTGTGTGTGTCACGGGGGGACCACGCCACTAGACAAGAGGCTCCCGCACAGACCTTTCCTGGATCACCCCGTCCACTCCAGGCTCTTGCTGAGATGGCTGAGTGGGTCCATGAGTCACATACGTAACCTCTTCGGCAAAAAGCTGTACAGCCACATCCTGGGCCTTCTTTCCGGTATCTGCTTTCCAAACCTTGAATTTTCTCACATTAGCCTCTTTTGCAATCTGGACACGCTGAAAATTTCCCCGACCATCGAGTGCTTTCCTAGGTTGGAAACACCCTTTTGCCCAGGCATCCCCCAAGCATGCTAAATGGAAAAGGAGGCCCCACTGAGATGTTAAGCAAGTTAATTTCTAAGTTCTGAAGCAAACTTTGTACCTGTGCCAGCTGACGTTTTGAAACTGCGTTCTCACTGTGTGCAGCGAGCAGGGGTCTGAGCAGGGCACTGGGCGCTCGCTCCCCCAGGCAGCCGCGGGCAGAACGGGAGCGGGGGCATCCACGGGCCACGGGAAGTGAGAGGAAAAGTCTGCCTCCCAAGCCAGGCACACCCCGCCAAGCGCAGGACTTCGGACAGATGGTTCCTACGTGTTCCGCCGCGGGAACATTCTGTCAGGTGCGGCTTTACCTCTGCTGCCCACGCGTGCCTCCCGCGACTCAGCCCCGATTGCACAGTCTTCCGGACCACCAGCTAGAAGGGGACACGGCACTCTGAAGCGTGCGGACCGAAGACTGGCTGAACAAACCAGCTCCTGCACATGCCTGACGGGCGGCCACACACGTGCCTGACGGAACAGCTGGAGCAAGCTCCGAGCAGCACAATCAGGGAACATACATCCGTTTCGGTTCCGGGAGTTAAATCCCACAACACTGTCCTTGAAAGACTAAGTAAGTGCTATCAGGTGATTCAAAACTATTTTGTCCCGTAAAGAACAATCTCTATGAGACAGCCTAACTTTGTGAAATGTGTAAAAAGCATCTGAAGAAAACAAACCAGAAACAGACCCACAGAGACAGAGAACGGCTGGTGGCCGCAGGGAAGGGGGTGCGGAAGAGTGACAGAGATGAAGGACATTGGCAGGAACAAACCTCCAGTTATAAAACAAACACGGCACAGGGAACGTAGCCGATGATGCCGTAAGGACTCCGAATGGCAACGGCCTTCTTGCGGGGAGCATTTTCTAAGGCACACACTTGGCTAGTCACTATGCTGTGCGCCTGAAACTAATGTAACATTGTGTGTCGGCTATACTTCTGTTACAAAAATGTGTTAGGTCAGGCCGTCTCGGTGGCTCAGTGGGTTAAGCGTTCAACTTGATTTTGGCTCAGGTCATGATCTCCTGGTTCGTGAGTTGGAGCCCTGCCTTGGGCTCTGTGCTGACAACATGGAGCCTGCTTGGGATTCCCTCCCTCCCTCCCTCTCCCTCTCCCTCTCTCTCTCTCTCTCTGCCCCTCCTCCACTCATGTGCATGCACTCGATAAATAAAAATTAAAATAAAACAAAAGAAATAAAAAAGAAATAAATAAACACTTTTTAGAAACATGTTAGGTCAACAGAGGAAAAAGCACTTTACTTTCGAAAACTGCACTTTTCAACATAAAAAAAAATTTTTGATGTATCCCTTATTAAATTGAAAAACATACTTAGTAAATACTAAAATATATTATTATCCCTATTTTATGGGAACTTTGCAAAAGGAAAATAAACTTGGTTGAATCAAATGTAAACACGAATTCCCTAAATCAGTGTCCTGGACGTACAAATAAAAGTGCATAAAAGTGTTATAAACAAATACTTTAAAAATGCTCACAATATATTCTATTTCGTAACTATAATTCATTTTTCCTGCTACTTTGGTAAAAGTTAAAATGTCAAGTTTCTTTGTAGTGTAATTATACTGAAGACAGAAAAAAATATTTTGCTATGATAAAAACACGCACACTGCTGACGGGATCGCAGCACTCCCATAGAGAAGCGTCCCAGAACAGAGCACAGGGTCCCCAGCAGGCCGGGTGCCGCACGGCAGAAGCAATCTCCACGTACGTCATACTCACATCTTAGAACCGACAGAAGCAACACAGAGAAATGATGATTAGCGAAAGCAAATAAACGCACAAAATGAAAAACACGGGAACTGCTGAGAAAAGACGCGTTTGCTCAGTGGAGAGGGGAGGACGAGGCAGCCGAAGGAGGGAGGCAGGGGACCGCGCCAGGCGGCTGACACGTGCGGGCCAGTCACGACGCACCCAGCCTGAGCGGGTGGGGGGGGGGGGGGGGGGGGGGGGGGGGGGGGGGGCTCCTGCCGGGCAGCGGGGTTCACACCAGACGGCGGGGCTCCTTCCAGCCACGGGGTTCGCACAGGGCTGGGGGCTCCCGCTGGGGAGTGGGGCCCCCGAGCTCGGACCCTCCAGCGCTGAGTGCTCCCGGTGCCCAGTGGGCTGTGTGATGTGCTCGGCACGCGGGGCCTTGCTTCCCACGGGGACTTGCAGGCTCACTCACATGCCCTGAGCTCCAGGAACCCTTCCTTGCAAGCCCCGGATGAGAGGCGGGAAGTCCACGCGGAGAGCCGAGATGCTAGTCCAACGCAGAGATGACATCAAGGTCCTTGACCCCGGGGGCACCCCAGTCGGGCTAAGTCCGCAGACCAAACCCACAGAAACGGGTGCCCCGCCGACGGGGGTCCGGAGAAAGGGGAGGGGCTTCAGCGCTCCCCTGAGCAAAGCAGGGCCCCGGTCACCGCGTCGGGCAGAGCGCTCTGCGTCACGAGTAGCGGCGCAGACGGGACTAGACGAGAACCACTGGCAGCGGAGGCCTTCCCTCGGACCCGTTCTCCCCGCGGACTCGCTCGGAGGGCACCCTGCGTGCCGAGCGTGGCACGGGCACTGGCGGGGCGGCGCACAAGAAACCACACGGCCGCTGAGCCGAGTGCTCGCTGCCGGGTCCCGCGAACGTCGGCCCGCGACCGCCCCCAGGCGCCATGTGACACCGGGCGACTCGCACGGTGCAGCGCGGGACTGGCTGTGGGGGAGCGCGGCGACTGGCGGGGCGGGCACTGGGTATGCGGGATGGACAGCCCGGACCGAGCCAGGACCACCACACCAGAGCAGGTCGCTTCCGTAGGACTCTTACAAGTACCACTTCCCCGGGAGGCTCTGGGGACACACGTGACCTCTCTGTCACCGGAGCCCACTGTGGGCACTCGGTACGTGTGTCTACGTGGTGACGACGATGCCGCGTGACAGCCGGACGGGCCCTGCGCACGCCTGCCGCTCTGAGAGCGGGAGGGGCTCTGTGCCGGGTGGCTCCGTAAGCGTGCGAGGCCCCAGCACACGCCATGCGCTGTGCCAGGCACGGGGCCAAGCGAGGCCCCTCGCCCCACGGAGCACGGTGAGCACGCAGAATCAGAAACCGGGCAGGACGGGGCTCCGCGACCGGTGGAGACGCAAGCATTACCGCAGCAGGTGGACGGAAGCCCAGGCGGCCTGCGGGCACACGAGGAACCCCTCGGAGGGTTCGCAGAGCGTCCGCACAGCGCGGCCGAGGAGGGCCGCGCTGGCGTGTCGTGGAGCGGGGCGTGCGGGGCCGGGAAGGCGGGCTGGCCCCGTCAGCTACGATGCCGAGGCGCCAGGGGTGAGGGTCTACGGCAGCCGGAATTCTGGCCCCGGCAGAAACAGCCCAGAGCACGCGACGGCCCCACTCTCGGGACGTAAGTGACAGAGACATCACCCTTGGACAGCCTTTTGGAGAAAGCTCGTCTATAAAGACGTGCGCCTTCCTCTTCCAAATGCTTACCTCCCCGCGCCCTCTATACTGTTTTCCTCTGTTCTGTTACAGAAAATGGTTGCTCTAGCTTCATGCTTCATGCACGATTTATCAGGTTTTAATTGCTCACTCACATAAAAATGTTCATTCATGTGTACTATGTATTTTTAAAATACATTTTAAAATGTGCTTTGGGGAAATACACATTTATACGGTAAAGATTAGTCTTGAAACTAAACAGACACCTCACAATAACTATTTATATCCCAAGCTTACTTACAAGGGTTACCGTTTTGAAACACTGTTCGCATTAAAAGACTGTCTTACTCAATACTTTGTCTCACTTGACAGATACATCAGGTGGTTTCTGAAACATAAAGTCAGTGAGGCACACAAATCCAATCCAAGGGCACTGGAAGTAAGTCCATTGGCAGTAAACAAAACCAGTCCGAGAAACATCTCCCGATTCTTCAATGTTATATTATCAACACATTCATGTATGGAAAAGGGTCAGATTTCTAGACTAATCAAAGAATAACAACTCTGCCCCTCCACGTAGCATCTTCTACGGAATCTCTTCTCAAGATATATCGGAGTCTTGGCTCCCGTTCAGCTTTGTGTGGACAAACTGCTTTCATACCGAGAAAGGTAACTTTCAATAAAATCATACTCAGCGAGACTAGACGTTTGTTTTATCTTAGTTCTCAAACCTACCTTATGGGAATGATGTAGGAAAAGAGGAGGAGGAACCGAAACAGGCTGCGGTACCACGGGCCAACAAATCCTTGTAAGGTTACCATAACAACCGACAGGGCAACTAAAGCCACAAACAGCGCTTTGGTCAGCTGGTTGAGTTCAAGGTCCAACAAACCAACCTGAAAGAAAAGCACAAAATTTAGGCATAACCATGAAGCATCTAATATTGCAAATCTGAATGCACAATAGTGATGACTAAGGCTCCTCTCGTACTGACCTTAACCCTAACGAAATACAAAAAGGTATTAACTTTACTTTTCTCCTGAAAAGCCTCTTCAGAGATTTAAGCAGAATTTCTGAAAAGGAGTCGCGATCCCCAGAGCGTTTGCAGAAAGGTTCCACTGAGAAAACACGACTCCAGGGTAGCCAACCACAAAACACTGAAATCCTTCCCGAGATCGAGGCGTTCCGACAGCCGGCTGCGGTGAGCCGGGACGCGGGATCTCATTCCGACGGAGCGCCCCAGAAAAGGAGGGCCTCTGCCAACCCTCGCTGCCAGGAGCCTGTCTCAACTAAGCAGAAAAGCAACAGGGCAGTGGGCCTGAACGGATTCCTTTTTCAATTTACACAGACCCTACACTTTACGTTCTCCCAATAAGGTATCGGGAGTCATTCTGTGGACCGCGGCCTCGCTGAGCAAAACATGAGGGGAGGTCGCGTCCCTGGGAACGAGCTCCTCTCTGGCTGCGTCCCGTGCGGGATCGTGGCAATGGCGAGAAGCAGCGTTCGCTCCTCAACTCAGACGTGCGCAACTGGGATTTCGAGCTCCGGCGGCCTGCACGAATCCCCCCCCCCCCCCCCCCCCCCCCCCCCCCCCCCCCGCGAAGTCACCGGCTTGAAGGACCACAGCGCAGTACAGGGTGTGGGGGGACACAGGGTGGGGTCTCAGGCTTTGCAAAAAGGCTTCCGAGCTACAGGGGGAGAAGGGGGGCCGCAGAGCAACTACTTTTCCTCAGGAATCGAAAAGCAGGCTAGTTTGAACGCTGGCGGTATAACCTTGGGAGAATTGAGTGCCGTTTTCTCATCTGTAAAATGAGGTTGCAAAAGCACCTTCGTCACGAGACTCGGGGCTAAATGAGACGGAGCGCAGCTCCGGGTCCAGGGCGAGCCCTCAGGCACATTCTTGTCCTCGTTACTGGCACTAGGAGACCCTTCCACCTCATCCCTGCTTCCTAACTGTGCGGCCCTCGCTTTGCGCTGGGCGAGCCCTGCTTTCCTCCGCTCTCCGCTGGCGCTCCCCGCCTGCTAACCAGACGAGGTGGACTCCCTGTGGGCCCGGGGAAGCTCCCTGTCACTCCCGGTGACTGTCAGGCCGCAGCTGGCACGTGTTCAGCACACTGCCTGCTCCCGACGCCCAGGATGCCGACAGCAGACTGGGTCTCCATCACGGGAGTTTCCCCCGAATCTGTACAAGTTTTGAGAGAGGGTGATTTAAAGAAAAAGAAAGTGACTGCCGTAACTTTGATAAAATATATGGGGTACCGTAATTCTCAAACTAAAGAGTTTTTAGTTTGAGCTAATTAGTAACTTAGTTTATTTTTGAAAATCCCTAACTGTGGCCAATAAAAGGTTAGCTTTCCGCATGTCTCGTGAATTTAGTTCACATCTGGTTGTGATTAACGTTTGCCACACACTTGCAGGAGAACATTAGAACATGTAGTTAGGAAGAAAACACAAAACGTTGCCGGGAAATCCAGTGAAGCGTGGCTACAAAAAAATTCACTCACTGAATAAATACATGTCAATGTCTCCTGCATTTTACTCCTACCTACAGTGTAAGGTTATGAAAAATGAGTCAGCTAGGAGACTCTACCTGGAAGAAACAGCCAGTCTAGTAGGAAAACTAAGACGAGCCACCAGCCATACAAAATTACAAGTCTTCCCCTCTAACCCAGTGTGTGTACAGATACTCACCGCCTTTAAGAACAGCCTAGAAACATGGGAACGACACGGACCCAGAAGTAACGACTGACGTCGTTCTAGAGCTTGGGTTCTACCCGCACACCCACCAAGACACGGCAGGGTCTGTGCCCCGGGCGGCCAGTGACAGGCCCCGCCCCATAGGCTCCACCCCAGCGGTTCACTTTCTGAGAGCCCCGCCCCTCTCGCCGACCCCTGTGGCCCCCGCCCCTGCACCTGCTGCCCGGGCCCCGCCCCCTGCGGCCCGGGCCCCGCCCCCTGCGGCCCCGCCCCTCTGGCTGACACCTGTGGTCCAGGCCCCTGGGAAGAAAGCCCAAGACCTGTTGGAAGGTGGTCTGGTCTGTTCAGGCACATCCAGCCTCCTAACTAAGGAACTTCAAAGCAAACCCAGCTGGGCCCCCAGCACTCACTCCGGTTTTCCTGGTTTTCCTGCGGCCACAGGCGGGGGGCCCTTCTGCGGCCAGCCTTCCCGTTCTGCACAAGGTGGCCTTCGGGCCAAGGGGCCGCGCGGGACACGGGGTCCACACCCGGCCTCCGCCTGCAGCCGCGCAACACAGCCTCCCCCCGGCCCAGGCGGGGCTGCGGAGGAACCCTGACCAGGTTCCGGAAACTTCCGGTAGGGCTGCCCTGCAAGGGCCGGGCTTCCCCCGAGGGGCAGGCAGCTCCAGACCACGGCTCCTGTTTTATCAACCGCACTTAAAAAGCAGCATGACGTGGACAAATATCTTGCCGTTTCCGCTACTCCAACTACTCCATAGTTTATGCTTGAATTAGTGAGAAAAATAGGTTTTGGGATTAAAATGAAGAAAAATTAAGCCGAGGAAGTAGAGCATGTTTCCAAGCGCAGCTCCTTCTGCTGTGACAAAGGAGGCCTAAGTGTCAGGCCTCGCTGAGGGTCAGATGAAGTCATTACTCATTCAGTCAGGGAAGGAAGGCTCAATTACCTCAGCCTGAAGATGCTATCAATGAACGCAAAGTGCACATTTTACTCTATTCATCCAAATCCCATTAAAAAGTGAAAGGGATGATTTAATCGGGCCTTCCAGAGTTGGCCCTTTTTTCGTAATAAAATAAAGAATCACTGTCTCGCAAAATGCATAACCACTACCTCCCACTTTCCCTGCACCACAGCAGTGAAAGACTGGAAAAGCTGAGGACAAAAACGGTCAGAAACGAACACAAAGTTTCCTTTGAAAAGGGCCACATATAGGACGGGAGCTGACGCGGCCCCTGCACACCGACCGGCAGACCCGCCGTGGGCACCAGCAGCTTGGCCATCCCCCCCGCCCCGCCCCACGGCCCCGCAGCTCCTCCTGCACCGTCCAGCAGAAAGGACAGCCTCACCGTCGCAAGCATCCCTGTGTGCGGGGTAACCACAACCGTCCCCTAACGGGCTGGTCCCTGCATTCTGGCAGGAAGCCTTGAGCTCTGACTTTTCTCCCTGGAAAATCACTGCAGCCGAGCTCCAGCGAACAGTACGGTCAGAATTTTCCTGTGTCGGTGCTAACACAACACAGGGCGAAGAAAAGATGTACTTCAACAATTAGCTTCTTACGGGTACACTTCTGGCTAACAGCTAGTATCTCTATACTCATTTCTCTAAAACAGACTTAAAAGTTTCTTCAACTCACCTAAAATGCAATCTGGACTCTGAAAAACTATTCAGTATAAGAACCAGTTAACTTGTAAACTTACAGCTTTTACAAAGAAGACCGTGGCTTCAGTTGTGATGTGAATCTCTTCCTTCTTTAGAAAATTTCTGGAAACACCTGAACCAAATGCCTTTTGCTATAACTGCAAAACCTTTCAACTCATAAAATATGTTATTAATCCCTCAAAGTAATTTTGACTGTATAAGAAAAGGTAAATTAAGTACACTAGCAAGCAATTTTCAACATTTATTGTAATTTCCTATATTAGTAAAGCAAATTTTCTTCTACTTGTCATAATATTTGTTTTATTTGAAACAACTGTGATAACAAAATTAAATACGCTACTGGAAATTTTAATCTCCAAGGGAAAATTTGTGCATAATGTCTAAGACACCACAATGGTTCTGCAAAGGGGCTGTTCTAGGATAATGAACACAATAATTGCCTGTATAATCTAAAATGCTACTAATGGCAACGATCACAAATCCATTTAGCTCCTCTTTAATTTATGTACCAAGTTTTAAATAGCTAATGGTTCTCAGTAAAATAATGGTTTATACCAACAATAAAGGGTAAATACGGTATTCTTCCGCTTAATCAAGAAAAGATCAGTCAGGTTTTCTTAAACGGGCGCGTGGACGAACGAGAACCCGCCTCATCTCTGGGACACGGTGCCGTCCCGTCCATCCCAAAGTAAAACCCCGCAGTGTGGCCCTCAGTCCCTAAGACGTCAGTGCACACCCCAAACTGGAACAGAGTAACTTGGCTAAGGGGCAAAACAAAAGGCACCAGTGCCACAGCGCACGACCGTACGGTATCACCCCCAGATCGGCATGACGTGAACCTCAACATACCTTTACCAGTCTTCTAAAGCTCACATTTAACTCGCCACAGAGAAGTGTTTCAGAATAGCAAAATAGGAGGATGTGAAATATCAAAAAGCTAATTTAAACTCTTGCAAGACGCTAAATGTTATTTTAATTGTCCGATCTTATCGCTGCACACGTATCATATTTTGAAAGGCAGAAAAGCCTCCGATCTAACAGCCCGAGAGTCAATTCGCTCAAGATGAATCTACGCAGGCAGAAGTACGGCTTTGCACGGGAAAGATTACCTACAGGGAAACACAACGCGATTAGCGCCGTTTGCCGTTTAACAGCCAAATTACTCTCGGATCAGCCCATCAAGCTCCTCATCACTCAGGGTCTGGAGTCTGACTATGAAACCGATAGCAGGGCTGCACCGTAACCCAACTGAAATCCCTGTACGAAGCACATTCCTTTTAAATATCTTTGAAGCAAGTCAGCCCTCCACTTCCCACTTTTAGTAGAATCTTAAGAAACAAGGAAAAAATGGGTAACTTTCAGACCTTCATCTGCAGCACTGAAATATGCATTTCAAATAACTGAAACTCGTCCACTAAATCTGACTCCCAAGCCTTACAGCAGTAACGCTTTCCATTTTGGAGTTTAAATCAAAAGCGTTAGTTTTTAAGAAGAGGTGCTATTTAGCCTTTTGCTCTTTTTCTCCAGTCTGCTTATTTACTC